GATTACTGTTTCTATCTCTATTTGAGGAATAGGCAAAAATGTCTATCTTTCTTCTAAGCATGTAGAATGCTACAGGAATACTTTTACTCGGTTTGTTTGAGATATTTCTCTGTGTAGTTTTGCATTTGTTTTTGTATTTCTTTTGACAAATCTAAAATCTTCTTTTTTCATCCCACTTTTCAGAAACCTTAGCAATATTATTTAACAGTATTTAATTCCTTTAGTGTTTTTTTTTGTTTGTTTGTTTGTTTTTTGAAGCACATTTCTGGGTTAGTTTGAAACACCAGGTCATTTGCAGTTTACATGGTGTCCTTGAAGGCAGCAAGGCAGGCTGCTGTACACGCCAGCCCCCGAAGGCCAGGGTTACTTCCTGCCTTTTGTAACTTTACTGTACACAACATAGAATTACAGCGATCGCGGCGGTGGCTTCTCTCACTTGATGAACTCAAAGCTGTAAGTTTTTATTGTATTTTTTTATGCCACATGATAGTAAATGCACCGTCGTGGAGATAGCCGAATCACAGAACTAGCTCTAGCTACAAACACGGATAACTCTCTGTACTGTACTTAGAGTTGCTCTCTGTTAAAATACTATGCAACAAAGAGTTAGGTAGAACTGAAATGAACGCACATGGTTTAGTTGTGTGTGTGTATGTCTATGCTTTTAACAGTAAACCAGTGGGGCACCGACCTTGAATTTTGCCTGATAGTTTAGCATACCATAGCATAGCATAAAAGTCGTTAAAAACGAGACTGTAGTTGGGTGTGGAAGTTGAACTATGTATGAATATTCACATGTGCCTTTGAATTCTAAATGAGCATGGGAACCTGGATTAGCATGGCAGATAATTTGTTTAATTGTACCGCCGTCAGTTGTAGATGCGAGTAAAAGTTGGAACTAATGTTATTGCGAGTTGACCGCACGAGCTGTCAAAGTGAGGAAGGAAGCGGAGTGTCACTACAGCCACGATACAACGAAACAAACCAAAACAAAGGTTCCGGCGGGGGCGCAAAACGTGTCAGCTGCTCGGTGTGTGTGTGAGAGAGAAAGAATTTGTTACAACGCAAGTGGAACTTGGCGACGTTGCTTGTTGTGAGCAAACCCGAACACATCTACATTTTCTTTTTAACTCGCTGCGTTGCTGACTCACCTGACAACAAGCACAGCAATAAAAGGGGATGCCAGCTAGTATACTAGTAGCTACATTTAGTCGTCAAATATAACGCCAGTTCTAATGAAACAAGGCATTGGCAATGAAGATGAAACAATTTTTAATAAGGGAAAAGCAAGTGGGTGTTGGCAAGGTAATTTTTCTAAGGATAAACAAAGATTTAAAATTTCCTATCTTGAGTCGGGAAATGAAGTCCTAAGTATTAACAAGCCTCCATAGTCTGAGGTAGAGTGGCACATATTTGTTAGAAGGAATGCTGTGGTGGGGAAAAGTGAGTCACTCATGAGAGGGGCCTCTGCTGCCTTTCTATTTCCCCCCTTTTTTTTCTTTTTTGGGCTTTGGCTTCTCCAGTGAACTTCATCACAGTTACTCACATTCTCATTCTGTTACTTGTGTTTTCCTTATAACGCATTCTGCTTTCTGAAGTCACAGTGAGAGTGTGTGTAGTGCTGAGCTGGCCTTATTACATTTGTGGAAGGTGGAGCAAATCACCCACATGTTCCATATATATGATGGACAGATAGGTGTCAGATCATAACAAAGTGTCATAATAAGAGTATTCTTCTCTTATCTGGGTTCACTTGGCCTGGCAGTCAGTCACATGAAGCAGGCTATGAATTTGCTAAGTTAATTCAGCATGTTCGCATAAAAGATTTTTCTTTTACTTATTTAGTA